AGAAAGAAAGGAAGGAGGAAGGAAGGAAGGAAGGAAGGAAGGAAGGAAGGAAGGAAGGAAGGAAGCTAGCTAGCTAGAGGGCCAATAGGCATAACCTGTATTTTTAACATTTTCCTAGAGAATTACTTACTTTGCATAAATACAGATGCATTCAGGTTCAATTGTTCTGTGAAACTAAAATTCTGTCATATTTGATTACCTCAAATTATGGATATCTTTTGTTGGCATTTTGTCTAAGCTCAGCCCCACAGTTACCTGGCAACAGCCTGGTGTGCCTGACTCACTATAAAAGGGGCTGCTTGCCCCTTGCCCTCTCCTGCCCTCCTGCTCTTGCTCCTGGTCCTTAACCCCTCTCTCCCCATCCACCATGTGGGCGGGCACGCACGCATGCACGCACGCACACACACACTCATGGCCAGCCTCTATTCCTCTACTGTCTCTTTCTCTGCCTTTCTCTGTCTCTACTCCCTCAACTCCCCTCCCCATGCCCTGAATAAACTGGTCCCTCAGGGGAAAGGAATTCCTCAGCATGGGCCCACAGAGGAACCCCCTCCCCACACCCGACTACACACCCACCAAATATATTCCTTCTCTCCTTATCATTTTATAAAACACATCTTTGAACTAATAAAGTCTTAAAAACAATAGAAATAAATATGCCATATTTCTTTTCTTTTGCAAAACTAGTTGAGCAGTTTTTGAAACTATAGGCTTCTGCTGTGTGGTTGTAAACAGCTGTAAACCTAATACTCAAAAGGTTGAGGCAAAGGCAGCAAGACTATAAACTCAAGCCTGCCTTTCCTGGCCACCATACAAACATGGGTATGTGCACACATAAACACACACAAAAAGTAACTATTAAAAGTTTTTTTTGTTTGTTTGTTTTTGGGACAGGATTTCTCTGTGCAGTTCTAATTGTCCTAGAAATCCCTCTGTAGCCCAGGCTGGCCTTAAAACTCAGAGATCTGCCTGCCTCTGCACCCCCCCCTCTGCCGTCCCCGGTGCTGGGATTAAAGGCATCTCCCACCACTGCCCAGAAATACTAATTCTTTAAAAAGAAAAATGTTGCTCTTAAAGCCAAAACCAGCCTGGTAGTGTTGGTGCATGACTTCAATAATAACAGCACTCACGAGGCGGAGACAGGAACTTTAAAACTTGAGGCCAGTCTGACTGATCCAGTATCAAAATCACCAAGTAAGAAAATCACCAAGGATGAGACTCACAAAACTTACCTTCTTTAAAATAAAAAGTGTCTTGTTGTCCTTGATTAAAAACCAACCAAACAACCAACAAACAGGATCCCATAGAGCCCAGACTGGTCTGGATTTATTAGATCCATCTAAAGGCTAGATTACAGTCCATGACACAACCCCCTGCTCACAAGTACCTTGTTCAACTAAATTATAATGTTTTTGACAGAGAAATTCAGAAAAGTATGATTAGTACTGTTAACTCTTTAAATTTATTATTTACTTCTTATTCAAAGAAAAATTCCTGTCAGGTAGTGGTCTTTAATCTCAGCACTCAGGAGGCAGAGGCAGGTGGACCTCTATGAGTTTGAGGCTAGCTTGGTCTATAAAATGAATTCCAGGACAGGTGGGGCTACACACAGACACCTTGTCTCAAGGGGGGAAGAGGGAGGGAGGAGGAGGGGGAGGGAGGGGGAAGGAGAGGAAGGGGAGGGGGGAGGGGAGAGAAAGAAAGGAAAGAAAATTTCCCACTTCTCAATTTTAAAACCAAGAATAATTTAGCGTATTATACTAAAAAAAGAAGCAGAAATAAATTTATTTCACACTGAGATAACAGAAACATTTGTATGACCAACACATGGTTTTGTAACTTAAAGGGAAAAGGCTATATCACAAAACTATCACATATATCAGAAATGAATACACTGGCTTCTAATATTGCACTCAGTAGGCTAAGGACACCCGCACTGCAATTTTCAGTTAAAAGTTCTTAGATTTAACTCTCTAGTAGGACGTGGTGACACACATCTATAAACTCAGCTGGGGAAACAAGACAAAGTTCAAGATTAGCCTAGGCTACGCTGTCAGATAGTATCTCAAAAAAGAGGTAATAATAAAAAAAAGTCTTAAAATCATAAAACAATTACATCACCAGATTTTGTT